ATTCTCAGATCTTAAATTTAAAAGATGGTTCTCTCAACTCTAGCTCAAATTTCATTTCCAAAAAACACTATGTCACTGTTTAATCTACAATTGGTCAATTCAGAATTATAAAATAATTTAGGGAACTCAATTTCCAATAGCTCACAATTTAAAAAAACAAAAACAACTCTAAGTTAATGACAAAAGAAAACATGTTAAACTACAAAAATGTTAAAAACTTAAAAGTAAAAACATCAAGACTATTTTCTAATCCGAAAGGATAACATACTATATATACTTTAATAACAATTCTATATGTAAAAGGAAAACAAATTTCCCACTAAAAGGAGAACATTTATCCCATGATAAGAATAAACTTATTGGCTGGGCACAGTGGCTCAAGCCTATAATCCTAGCATTCTAGGAGGCCAAGGCAGGAGGATCACTTGAGCTCAGGAGTTTGAGACCAGCCTGGGCAAGAGTGAGACCTATCTCTACTAAAAACAGAAAATATTAGCTGGGTGTGGTGGTACTCGCCTATAGTCCCAGCTACTTGGGAGGCTGAGGCAGGAGGATCGCTTGAGCCCAGGAGTTTGAGGTTGTAGTGAGATTGATCATGCCACTGCACTCCAGCCAGGGTGACAGAGCAAGACTCTGTCTCAAAAAAAACCCCAAAAACTTATTTAAGAAAACAAGTTCTCATACCAAACATTATGGCTTTCTGACACCATTTCATAAAGAACTGACTTTTATTAAAAATTATTTTATTTAAAATTGACTTTTACTTTAAAAATAAACAAAAAATAAAGGCAAATTTGGAAATCATAATTATAAACCTCAACTAAAGGGCCTTTTCAAGAAATACTATATGAAGACCATAACATGTGTAAAGGGACAATGAAACTTACTAAACATTTTCTTAACAAGATATCATGATGGTCAAAGTTATATCCTCTCTCTCAAGGGTTGCTAATAACTACCAATAGTCCCTATCCAATCCTTATCCTACTCTATCTAATTGTTCTGTAATATTAATCTCTTTCATCTCTCTTCCTACCTCCCAGATATGCCTTCTCAATCTTTGCTGAAGCCTTTTTCCCTGAAACCATCCTTATCTGCTGCCAGGTAATTTCATCCATTCCAGCACAAGCTTCAAGTATCACTCAGTGCTAGTAACTCTCAAATCTATGTCTCCAGTTCTTCTTTTCTCTATCTAAGCTTCAGATCTATATTTCCAACTGTCAACCAAAATGTCCATTAAGATGTTCCCCAGGTAATGCAAGTTTAATTTGCTTGAAATCAAAGCCATCCTCTCCCTTTCTAACCCCTCCTCTCAAAACTGAATGCTTCTCACTGTGTTCCTTATCTCAGTTAATGACAGCCAAAGAAAAAACAAGACCATTGTTAATTCTCTCTTCTCACACTCCCTCCATCCCCTTGGTCCCTAAATTCTATTTGAAACCTCTGAAGTACATTCCTTCCACTGCATTTCCACTGCCACTTCTCTATTCATCTCATTTGATAATAGTCTCCTTTTCCATCACTGTGCCTCTAATTTCTACCTATTCTAAATCACCAACTTCCTATTGCCTACAACAGCAACTTCCAAACTATAAAGTCAATGCATACAGATTACACATATAAAGTATAATTATGTGTATGTATGCATATATATATACATAGTTATATATAATTACATGTATTCTCAAAAGGTTCAAAACCAATGTCTCCAAATTCCGTACCTTTTGGATTTTGGGATGGTTTCTACAGGGTTCATCACAGCTTGGTTTTAATTTATAGTCCCAGCTTCACCTTCTATCATCCTCCTCCTAAGTATACTTCAGCAGACATACCACAAATATAAGATTCACTTTTCCCCTCTGCTTCTGCCAATCCCTAACATCTCAAAATTGTTCTTCCTTTTCCAATCTGGTAGTCTCTGTTAATCCCCTACCAAACAAAATTAGCTGTTCTCCCTTGAATGCCCCATGTACTTTGCTCATACACCCAGCATAGACCCTAATATATTAGTATGAGACGACAAGATTGCCTCTCTGACAGCATGGGAGCAACCTGAGTCTTATTCATCTTAAAATCTTAAATGTCTCATCCTTTTTATGCCACATGGAAGTATGTGGTAAATGCTTAATTGAACTGAAGATGAAGCCTGAGGGGTGATCCATAATTAAGGGTTTGCTAGAAACAAGAGAGTCTGCATATAAGTAAAGAAGTAGACAGAAGGAGAAAGACATCTAAAAAAATACAACACTGTTAAAATATCTACTACTTGACTTTTAACAAGTTGAATAAGCAATCAAGAGAGTCAAATGCGATACAGAGGCAGATGAGGATAAAAACTAAGAAAATAACTTTTGTGAGAGAGAAGTATTTGGTACATATACAGCAGACAAAAGTTAACATATCTAACAAATAAGAATGCTTTAGAATAAATAAAAGTAACTCTAACCAAACAATTCACAGAAGAAAAATGTAAAGATCAATAAAACATATGAAAAATTCCTCGAATTTCCTCAAAATCAGAAAAAGTTAAAATAACATTATTTTTTGCCTATCATATTGGCAAATTCTTTTTTCAATGATAACATCTAAGAATGGCTAGGGTGTGGTGAAATGGCTATGTCCATGACATCCTTGGGGAAATGAAAATTAGTACAATATTTCTGGGGGCCAATGTGGAAATATATAGAGGAAATCACAAAAATATTCATACCCTTTGACCCAATTTTCACTTCCAGGAATTTATCCTAAGGGAAAAGAGACATGCAAAAATTTATGCAAAAGGATATTTGTTCATAGTAACACCATTTGGAATATCAAAAATTTGGAAACATAAATGTTCAACAAGGGAATGATTAAAATAATACATTTTTATTTATTTATTTTCAGCATATTATGGGGGTACAAATGTTAAGGTTACATATATTGTCCTTGCTTCCCCCACCCCGAGTCAGAGTTTCAAGCAAATCCCAGTTGGTTCGCATCACACTCATTATGTATTTATATACCCATCCCCCCCACCTGCCTGACACCCGATAAATGTTATTCCTATATATCCACTTAGGTGTTGATCAGTTAATAACGATTTGCTGGTGAGTACATGTGGTGCTTGTTTTTCCATTCTTAGGATACTTCACTTAATACAATGGGTTCCAGCTCTATCCAGGAAAATACAAGAGGTGCTATATCACTGATTAATAGTACTCCATGGTATACATATACCACATTTTATTAATCCACTCATGTATTGATGGGCACTTGGGTTGTTTTCACATCTTTGCAATTGTGAATTGTGCTGCTATAAACATTCAAGTGCAGGTGTCTTTTTTATAGAGTGACTTTTCTTCTTTTGGGTAGATGCCCAGTAATGGGATTGCTGGATCAAATGGGAGATCAACCTGTATTGCTCTGAGGTGTCTCCATATTGCTTTCCACAGAGGTTTTATACAAAGGATATTATATAAAAAAAAAAAATTTTTTTTTTTGAGACAGAGTCTCACTCTGTTACCTGGCTAGAGTGCCGTGGCATCAGCCTCGCTCACAGCAACCTGAAACTCCTGGGCTCAAGCAATCCTTCTGCTTCAGCCTCCTGAGTAGCTGGGACTACAAGCATGTGCCACCATGCCCGGGCTAATTTTTTTTTCTATATATTTTTAGTTGGCGAATTAATTTCTTTCTATTTTTAGTAAAGACGGGGTCTCGCTCTTGCTCAGGATGGTTTCAAACTCCTCACCTTGAGTAATCTGCCCGCCTCGGCCTCCCAAAGTGCTAAGATTATAGGCGTGAGCCACTGCGGTCTGCCATATTTTTGAAAAATATTAGTGATATGCAGAAAGGATCATTAGATGATATTAAGGAAAAAAGGGGAAAAAGCTGAATAGTATAATGTAGCAGTATAAATGCATAAAATAAAAAATATGAGCAGAAATATACCAAATTATTAATTGTAGTTATTCCTGTATAGAGTAATTATCAGTCACTAAGAGCATGTAATAGCTTTATGATTAAGAAAAATATATTGTTTTAAAAGGTGATTTGATTTGCTTTAAAATGATAGTAATAAACTTCAAAAAAGGGTTTTTAGAAAAATGTGGAAGCCAGATTACAGATATTTAAAAAGAAATAGGTAGTAAGCAGAGTATGGATATAGACCATTTGTTAAGAAGTTCAATAGCAAAAGCAGAGAAACATTAGAAGTTAGTTAAGAGAACAAAGTCAAATAAAGCTTAATTTTTAAGCTGTAGGAGACTTGACAATGTTTCAAACCAGAAAGGAGATGGAGACGATGAAACTCAAGACACTAAAAAAAGAGAGGACAATGTAAATTAGACTTCTGCCTATTATTAAAATACAAAGATAGTGTTACAAAGACCATGAATGTGACAAATAGGTGGCCAGTCAGCTTTGGTCTAGTCTATGCCCACAAGACTGCACCCCAGTATCAGATAATTATTTAAGAAATATATTTACTGATCACCAATATGGATAGAAAGAAAACTATAACTAGATTAAAGTGAATTATTACCTCCATTAGAAAAACCTCAAAAACACATGTTCTTTGGAGGCATCAATACTGCAACCTTTGTACAAAATCATTATTTGAATCACTCAAATACTTATCTAACATTTACTAAATGTAAGGCACTGTGCCTTACATTTAGTAAGACAGTCTCTGCCCTCATAAATATCACATTTAACTAGAGAATTTAGATATTAAACAAAGAACTAATGAATGAGCATACTGAGTACCAAGGAAAGGGAACCATCTGGTAGTATGGAAACATATGCACATTGACTAGGAAATCAGTAAAGGCCTCCCTAAGGAAGTGCCATCTAAACTGAACATACAAATTAAAGATCATATTCACAAATGAACATGAAGTCTAGATAAAGGATTAGAAATGTAGGGCATATATTATTCCTCAGTTTTTCAACACTTTACACTTAAAGAAAGAATAGAAACACCAATGTTGTGATTAAAGATAACTGTAAATAGTACGTACCTATGCGAAGGTCTCTTTGCAAAACATTCTTATCATAAACATAGAAAGACAAATACTGGAAAGTTCTTGGAATCTCAAAGTAAAATTCTTCACTGAAAAATGGGCTAAAGAGAAAAGGGGGGAAGCTCATTACTTCAAATAGTATCAAATAATTTAATAAAAATTGGCTGATATCACTATTAATAATATTACTACTCAATATCACTTTCAATAAGGTTGATGAAATTGTAAACTAAAAGGTCACGGAAAAGAACTTCAAAAGTTCCAAATCATTCCCAATGCTAAGTTTCAACTATGTTCTATGCAAACCAAGCTGAACTCTGAGAAAACCTACGTTGCCAGGAAGAGTTCTGAACAAAGCTCTTCAGGAGTCCTGTAGACAAAAGATACAGTTCTTGCCTGAGATCACACTCACCTAAAGTGGACCTAAATGAGAGCTGAGGACAGAGTCATTCACACCATCACTGTCTTAAAAATATGTAAAGTTACCTTAATCAAACTAATACATTAATATATAAAATGGGTAATGTTACACAAAATGTTACTTTAAAAATATATTTTCAAAATTAAAACAAGCTATTTTAAAAATCAACTTTATTGGGGGAGCAGCAAAAAAAAAATCAACTTCATTGAGGTATAAATTACATATAATACAATCTAATTTAAAGTATAGAGGTTGATGACTTTTGATAAATTTATAAATCTGTATAGCCTTCACCTCAATCAAAATATAGAAAACTGCTATCTCCTGAGAAAGTTATCTTATGCCCCTCTGCATTTACCCCCCATACCTGCCACAGGCAACCAGTGATCTGCTTTCTATCATTATATATCTGTCCAAGAATTTCACATAAAAGGAATCATATATACTCTTATGTCTGGCTTTTTTCACTCAGCTTAATGCCTGTGAGATTTTTTCCACGTTCTTGTGTATATAGTAGAGTTCATTTGTTTTAACTGGTGAGTATTCTACTGTATGCCACAATCCATTCTCCCAGTGATATCATTTGACTTGTTTTCAGTTTGGGCTCTTAAAAATAATGTTGCTATAAAATTTACACAAGGCTTTTTCTAGCCATATGCTTTCAACTTTTTTGGGTGACTGAAATTGTTGAGTTAAAGGTGAGCATTTAATTTACAAGAAACTATCAAACTGTTTTCCAAAGTGGTTGTACCATTTTACACTCCTAGTAGCAATATTCCAGTTGCTCACATCTTGGTACTAACAATGTTTTTAATTTTAGCTATTCTAGGGAATGTGACATGATCAATTTATACACCTATGTAATCTTACCCTAATTAAGACATAAAACATTTTTACCTCCCCCCAAATTCCCTGGTGACCCTTTGTAATTGCCCCTACCATACTCGCACAGGCAATGATTTCTATCATTGCAGATTATTTTCTAGAATCTACAGTGACAAAAATGGTTTTTTGGGTTTGTTTTGTTCATTTGAGACAGAGTCTTACTGTGTTGCTTGGGCTAGAGTACAGTGGCAACATCACAGCTCACTGCAACCTCTAACTCCTGGCTAAAGTGATCCTCCTGCCTCAGCCTCCTGAGTAGCAGGGACTACAGGCATATGCCACCATGCCTGGCTAAATTTTCTATTTTTTGTAGAGATGGTGTCTCGCTATGTTGCTCAGGCTGGTCTCAAACTCCTGGCTTCAAGCGATCCTCCTGCTTTGGCCTCCCAAAGTGCTAGGATTACAGGTGTGAGCCACCGCGCCTGGACCAGAAATAGTTTTAAACTGAATTTCCCTGACTACTAATGATGTTGAATATCTTTTCCATATGCTTCTTGGCCATTCATATATCATCTTCTGTGAAATATCTGTTCAAGTCTTCTCCCCATATTTTAAATGGTTGTCTGTCTTCTTACTGAGTTACTAGTTTTTTTGTTTTGTTTTAAAATAAAGTCTGTGTACACGTCCTTTTGTCAGAAAATGTTATCCTAGGGATGGCTTGCTATTTAATTTTCTTGACGGTGTCTTTTGAAGAACAGGAGCCTCTAATTTGAGAAAATTTAATTTATCAATTTTCTTCTTTTATGGTTAGCACTTTTTGTATTCTAAAGAAACCTTTCCCTACTCCCAAGTTGCAAAGATTTTTTCCTGTGAAATAGCTTGTCTTTACAAGTTCATTTTAAGATTGCTATTTTGACAAATTTAAATTCTTCTATGAAGACATGAATCTCTGAAATGCTAGTGAATGTCTCTGTCAAGAGTGTATCTTTCCTAAGAATGTTTAAAGAACAAAAAAGATAAATATCATTATGAAATGTGATATTTTTAAGATGTCATAACTAAAAGAGAAAGTAAAATACTCCTACATAAGTTATTTGTGACTCAGAAATAACAGGTGGCTCAGCTTTTTAGTTGCTATAATGCCTGATCAACTTTGTTACTGTTTTTCCTTTAAATGTAACCAAAATAAACTTTTTAAAGTTAGCCTATCAAAGTAACTGGAGTCTTCTAATTAATCTCAACATAGAAACCAAAGCAAAAACAACTATTAGGTAAAGACATGATGTGTATTTCTCTTCATATCATTTTATAAATAATTATAAAACAGAGAATTTTCTTTATAAATCACACATGCATATTGAAATATTATTATGATTTTTTAGAGTCAGGATCTTGCTCTGTTGTCCAGGGTGGAGTGTAGTGGCCCAATCATAGCTCACTGCAGCTTTGAACTCCTGGCTCAAGTGATCCTCCTGCCTCAGCCTCCCAAGTAACTGGGACTATAGGCATGTATGACCATGCCAGCTAATTTTTTTTTTATTCTGTGTAGAGATGAGGTCTTGCTATGTTGCCCAGGCTGGTCTTGAACTCCTGGACTCAAGTGACCCTCCTACCTTAGCCTGCCAAAGTTCTGGGTTTACAGGCATGAGCCACCACATCTGGCCCAATTATTATTTTTAAGTACATTAAGCCAAAAAGAACAACATGAGAATTATTAAGTCATCTGTATCATTGTATCATCACAATCTAGCCATATCTTCATGTTATTAAAAAAAATAAATTAATCCATTTGAAGAAAATTTTTAACAAGGTTGGTAAGGAGCCGTGAGTAAATTTACACTGTTTTAAAAATATACTGTACTAGGGAGGGGGGCGGGTATATACATACACAATGAGTGAGATGTGCACCATCTGGGGGATGGTCATGATGGAGACTCAGACTTTTGGGGGGAGGGGGGGAAATGGGCATGTATTGAAACCTTAAAATCTGTACCCCCATAATATGCCAAAATAAAAAAAAATTAAAAAAAAAATATACTGTACTGGTACCACTGACTTATGATCATACATATGACTCCTGAGGAAGTTCCTGACATGGGCAAGAGAAGCACTGGGTACAAATAGTATCATTGTTATGCTGTTTATATATATCACCTATTTCCTAAAAGGATTTGAGGGAGTGGTTTAGGAGCTATAGTTTCCATATGTGACTCCTGTTCACCTATTATGAAAATTCTATATCCAGACTACATATACTGTCTAGAACCCATAACAAATCCAAATGGCATCTACTGACTTTTGGCTTACCAGCTTATCATAAATACCCACAAGAGTAGAAAATACTGAAATGAAAACAAGATGAGCAAGGGTTTTTATTAGATTCTTTCTTCCTATTCCACAAGGGAAAATGCCAGGAGCATCTAGAACCCAAGAAGCATCTACTATATTTAAATAACCTAAGGTAGCCACTGCTAGCTTTAAAATATTTTCCCAAGTTGCTGTGCATCTATAAAAATAATTTAAGGTAGATAAAGAAAACTGGGTTCATCTTTTTCCCCAACACAAATATCTGGAAAGGCAAGGGTGGAAAAAAAAAAAAAAAGGAGGACTAATTTAAATTACTCATTTGCAAGGCTACATATTAGAATCAACCCAAAGTATCCAATTAATTGGCAGTTATTCGTTAGTTTTGTATATCACTAATTATTGTGTGATACAGAATCAGTGTATGTTAAATAACAAATTGAGATTTAAATAGTTTCAGGTCTCCAATCTCAGTTTTGCTTCTAAATTCATGTATTATAGGGCAAATTATTCATCCTTTCAGTGACTCAGTTTCATCATTTATAAATATAAATAAAACATTATATATATATAAATTTATATTTATAAAATATAAAGAACACCAAAACTCTAATACAATAGGCACAGTTGACTTATTACTTCGAATCTTTTTGGGCTACTAAAGTATTTTCAGTTTTATATAATACTTTTCTTATCAACAACTCAATAGATATTCAAAATTATAAAAATTGAAAAAAAGACATAAAGGGAAACTTTAGAAAACATAAAATCTTAAGGGGAAAAAATGCTGAATAAAAAGGCATCAAAAACAGATCCCTGAAATGCAACTGGTCTAAAATACAATTCACATAAGTCATGGCACTCATTATTTCATCCACCACATGCTCATTCCAATAATTCCCTGTACCCTTGTTGTGACTCTTATCTCTGAACAAGACTGCATCCTACCAGCACAGCTCTGCACCAAAATTATGTCCACAAACGCTGCTATAGGGAAGAGGTGGCATATTACAATTTCATTGACTAGAATTTATTATGATACTTTCAAGGTGCAATTACACTTTCAAAGATGAAAATTCATTTCTTGACAATGCACTACTAAGCTAAGTGACTTATATGAACTTTAAGAAGTAATTTATTCTTTAGAGAAACAAAATAATAATGTACTTTGAGGAAAGTTCAAACGAATAGGAAAACTTTAGCCTAGAGAACAGACGGAGGTATATGATAGTCGTTTTCAAAAACTTGAAAGAGTGTCATATGAAAGAAACTTGTTCTACAGAAATCCAAGGAATAGAATTAGGGACAATTAAGAGGAAGATATATTTTGAGGCAATGAAAAGTCACATGAAGGCAACTGCTGTGTCTACTGTGTTCTCATGGACGTATGAATAAATAGAACCCAGTAAATTATTGATATATAGTAGGCTCTCATTTTAATAAACATTAATCAACTAAATATAAGAGCTTTCTAAGAGTCAGAATAGTTCAAAGACTGAACAGGCTGCTTAGGAAGCAGTGAGCTCCTTGGTCACTGGAACATTACTATGTAAATGTCAGATGACCACTTGTCAAAGCTCTTGTCAGAAAGAACCAAGCATAAGGTGGACATTCTGGCCTAATGAACATTAAGGCTCCCTCTATCTCTGACATACTGTAATTCTAAAAAGAAATTCAGAATGTAAAAGAAAAGTAAAAGTTTCAAAAGAAGAAAGTCCTCTTTATGATAACAATCTGAAAAATGCATAAAATTTATTAATCAATATATATAATGACAATTTACCAATTTTTCCACCAACCTTAAAGATTTTTCAACAACTTGGGTACGATAAACTTCTTCCTGGTCCAAATTGATGGTACAAAAACAATCTCTCATTTTGTTGGGTCCAAGATATGGCAACAAATTTTTCGCTTCACCTGTTGGCACAAAAATTAAAATTAGTGTTAATTATTAGCAGCTGCTTCCTGCTAAGCCTTATATAGGATGAATTCAATTTAAAAGAACGTATAACATGTGGCACAGGAAAAAAACACAAGTAATTAAAACACAAGTAATCAACTTTGTCTAAAGGAGACCAGTAAGACTGAAAGGAGGGCCTATGTTAAGCGACATCTGAGGTCCCTTTTTTATTTTACATCACAGCATCACCACTCCTATGAAAGGGCAATCCTCCTACTTGTGCTCTGTATCCCATCCCATCAGTGCTACTCCAACAACTTCACTCCACAATTAATCTTTCTTTCCTGAATCAGCATTAGTTCCTGATCATTCTGTCCAGCACTAAACATGCATGCAAATTTCCCAATTTTAAAAAAGCAAACAAAAATAAAAAAAGTCTTCCTTGATGCCACCTCCTCCCTCTTGATATCATTCCGTTTCTAGACTCCTTTCTCAAAACTTCTCAAAAGCATTATCTCTGGTCGTTGTTTCTATTTTCTCTTTTCATTCATTCTTCAATCCTCTCTAATCAGCTTCTGTCTCTACTGTAACACTGAGACTGCTCTAGCTGAGTTCACCAGTGCCCTCCATACCACCAAATCCAATGGTCATTTCTCTGTTTGCATCACACCTGACTTTGCAGCACTATTTAACACAAGTGAACAATAACATCCTTCTTTAAAATGCTCTCTTCTCCTGGCTTCCACAGCACAGTGTTTCTGGCTTTCCTCCTGTATCACTGGCCTTCTGCTGACTTCTCCCATGTGGAACATGTTGCAATGCCTCAAGACTCAGTTTTGGACCACCTTCTCTTCCTTCTCTATGCAAACTCCTGCAGTATACGGTGTTAATGCTGATGCCTCCCAGATTTGTATCTCCAGATCTGACCTCTCCTTCTCAACACCAGATATGAGTATTAAACTGCCTTCTTGGAATCCAGGAGGCATCTCGAATTTAACAAGTTCCAGACAAACTATCTGACTTCCCCCCTCCCCCAAAATATGTTCTTTCCCCATACCAGTCCCTCAGCAGGAAATCCAGCAGACCTCCAAAATAAATCCCAAATCCAATCACTTCTTCTTGCCTTCACTGGCACCAAGTCCAAGCCATTATAATCTCTCATTTGGACAAACATGACAGTTTCCTTATTGGTGTCTCTGTTTCTACTTTTGCCCATCCTACAGTCAACTCTCCATCAAGCAGTATGAGCTTTTAAACATATTATTCAGGTCAGTCACTCTTCTGCTCCAATACCGTACCATTTCACTGAGAATAAAGTCCCACTTCTATACTGTGCTCTACACAATCCTACTGAACTGTCCACTCTGACCTCTTCTCCTCCCACTGCTCCCCTAAACCCCCACCCCCTATAATATTCACTTTCTTTCCATTCATCAAACATGCCAACCATTCATCACGTTCAAGCTTAGGGCCTCTGCCTGAAACACTCTACCCCTAGAACTTCACATAGTTGGTGCTTTCTTATCATTCAGGTCTCAGCTCAAATGTCACTATTGCAGAAATCTTCCCTGACCATTCTATCTAAAATAGATAATCCTGCTACCATATTCTATTTCTCTGTTGTGTTTCCTTGATAGCAGTCATAACTATTTAAACCTCTGCTAATTTTTACTTAAGTGTTTACTTTTTGGTTCTCCCATTCTTAAAGCCTGGGAACTTGTTGATCACTAAGATCTATTAAGTGATTGTCAAATAGTAGACACCTGAGAAATATCTGTTGAATGAATGGATATTAAAGAACCCAGTAAGCCTAGTTTTGAGGTTCTCCTGAGATACTCATGGGCCAAATGGATACACAAAAGTGTGCGTGCTAGTATACTAAACCACCAGTATACTAGGAAAGTAATATAGTTGGCATAAAAGAAAGAGCATTATCCTAAGAATCATAAAACCAATATTCCTGTTTTAACTCTGCTACTAAGCAGCTGCATGACTTCAGACAAATCACTGAAGCATGGGTTTCCTGATGAAGGTTTGAATTATATAAACCTAAGTATCTTTCTTTCAACTTTAAAGGCCATTTGAACCAATATCTTTCAAAGAAGTCTAGCAGAAACCTAAGAAACACATATAAACAATTCAGTAAACAAGTAATTTATAAAAGCTAAAATAAGAAAACCAATGGAAAGGTATCAGTAATGTACTCTTGTTATTAAATTTATTATTGAGAGAGTATTTTAAAAAGTTACCACTTAAATGGAAGAAACAAATTTATGTTCGTCTCAAGTCAGAATCAAGGAATTGAATTTTTTCAATGAACCCACAATTGCCTAAAATGGGTTAGTCCTTACAAATAAACTGGTTCCATGAAGGAAAAATAACACATAAAAATAATATATATCTGAATCTGTATACATCCATTTCCTTCTATCTCCAAAGACTAGATATACCTCTTCTTATCCAAAGCTCATTCATCTACCTGTGCTCTCTCTACCCCATTCTATCTTACTTCCTCCAGAATACTGTTCAGCAATTCCATTTTTATTATTTTCAACCTTCTCCTTCAGCTTCTCCTTTTTCTCTGATGTCTCCCCTCTGCATAATCAAGAAGGGTTTTTGTGTTTTGTTTTGTTTTTTAAAAACCAAAGTCCAACTAGGTCACTATATAGGGCCTGGAATATAAAGAATTTGGAATTAGATCATAATAAATATGCTCCATATCTAATGTGAGAATTTGGAACACTAAATCACTACCCCTGAAGATGTCCCTCTTTCACTTACATAAGTGTGGCCTGAGAAAATAATGTTTAAATGTGCAGATATTCTACCATCCTCTCCTCCTTAAGAAGGAGACAATAGGGTTATTTTAACTGCAGAATCTGATGTATTTGACATTATCAGATATTTACTTAGAATAAACAAAAATTTATGTTCTTTGTAATATAAAAGATGGACCCAACATCATTTCCTATAAAAGCAATTATAATTTGTACATTTTGAACATTCATTACTGACTGGCGTTCAAATAAACTATATTGAAAGCTAATTCTTGTAATCAATGCCCAGCTCACCAATCATAAAAATGTTAAGCCAGCTATCAGGACTTTAAATTAAAACTGCAGGCCGGGCGCGGTGGCTCACGCCTGTAATCCTAGCTCTCTGGGAGGCTGAGGCGCGGATTGCTCGAGGTCAGGAGTTCGAAACCAGCCTGAGCAAGAGCGAGACCCCGTCTCTACTATAAATAGAAAGAAATTAATTGGCCAACTGATATATATATGTAAAAAATTAGCCGGGCATGGTGGCACATGCCTGTAGTCCCAGCTACTCGGGAGGCTGAGGCAGAAGGATCGCTCGAGCCCAGGAGTTTGAGGTTGCTGTGAGCTAGGCTGACGCCACGGCACTCACTCTAGCCTGGGCAACAAAGCGAGACTCTGTCTCGGAAAAAAAAAAAACAAAAAAAAAACTGCAAACTACAGCCGGGTGTGGTGGCTCACGCCTGTAATCCTAGCTCTCTGGGAGGCCGAGGTGGGCAGATCGTTTGAGCTCAGGAGTTCAAAACCAACCTGAGCAAGAGCGAGACCCCGTCTCTACTATAAATAGAAAGAAAGTAATTGGTCAACTAATATATACAGAAAAAATTACCGAGCATGGTGGCACATGCCTATAGTCCCAGCTACTCGGGAGGCTGAGGCAGGAGGATCGCTTGAGCCCAAGAGTTTGAGGTTGCTGTGAGCTAGGCTGACGCCATGGCACTCACTCTAGCCTGGGCAACAAAGTGAGACTCTGTCTCAAAAAAAAAAAAAAAACAAAAAAAAACTGCAAACTACAGTGGTAATTAATTGGCACATTATAAACAACATAAGTAACTAATGGTTAGAGACATGATAAAAGTAATACTATGCCTATTATATCTTATCAGAAAGAGAGTATCTCTTATCTTAAGCAGAAAGAGAATAGGTTGAGAGTATACACTTCATATCCAGCTACACAAAAAAGAGTAAAGAACTTTGGAAGATTGTGCTTGCTTGTGTGTGATATTTGAGTAGGGCCTCACTAGCTCTAGCAATTCTATTATATAAATAAGCATGTACATTGGACCCCTGCCCCAAATCTATTGGCCCTTAAAAGCCAAACTTTTTGAAAACTTATTCTATAATCATTGCCTCTAACCATTCCCTTCCACTCACAACCTAAACCTTCAATTAGGCTTTTGATCCTACTCCTTGCTTATTACATGCAGGAAGACTAATAGTATTAAGTGCTACCAAATCAAATGACTGCTTTTCAGTTCCCACCTTATTTGATCATTCTTCAGTATTTGACAACACTAAACTTTACTCAGTTTAGGTAACTCATTCTAATGGTTTTTCAGGGTTTTTATCCACTAACCACATCTTAAACATGAGGGAACTTGTCATCCACAGACTACTTAATTCATCATAGAGGTGCAGGACAAATTTCAGGTATTTTTTAAAATGTGTTGTTATAAAACAATAAAAATATACTAAAAAACAAGTTTCTCAGTATTGTTTGATGGTATTATTTGCAATTTTCCTCAACTTATCTATAAGTCCATTTAATGATAGCTATCCTTAAGGAGAATCAGGTTTTATACCTGCAGAAGATATGGTAGATTAGTATTCAATATCCATTTCAACCTCCTTCAGTGTATGCCTTCCTGTACCACAGAGAATAGAAGGCTAAAAACTACATTTCCCAGCCTCCCTTGCAGCTAGGATTGTGAATGTGATTTAAGTACCACCAATGAGATGCACTCACTAGAAATTTGGAGGACAGAAAAGAATGGAGGTTGAGTTTAGGTTGCTTCTACTAGCAAGCACTCTCATGGAGATGTTCCTGTTCTACAGCAGCATTTGCAGAAGTCACGTATTCAGTCACAGATTTCAGGGATATTAAGAAGGGCACAAGGCATCCATTCTACAGTACAAGTTGTGGAAGGCATGGCTTGGCTCTAGAATCAGCAGCAGTCACAACAGCTTGCTGATGAAAGTGGTTA